GTTCTGTCGTTAGATGGTTCGAAAAATATAGTTTTTTGTTAAAATAAGAGGTGTGTACTGGTTTTATGTGACTGGTTTATATGTAAATGCAATTTAATACTACTTCAAAAAATACTCTCAAACCATTACCAAGTAGATAGCTAAATATAGTAGTGACATCCGGTAAACTTGGTTGATATTTGTCAATTTTAAAGACATAAAATGTTAGATAACTTGTTTCAATTGCTTATTACAAAGATTTACATTCTAAATATGGTCATTTGAGAAAATAGAATCAATATTTATTCCTTACCTGTAAAGTAATCCTTTTGATCTTCGATGTTAATTCACAGGTTTCTACGCTGCTTTGATTTCAGAAATTATCGATGAATATTGTCGGACAAATGAACAATTTGTTATTGAGTATATTATACAAATTCACAGTTGAATCCCTGATACTTTTTCTCTTCTTCTTAAGATTCCCCGATCAGCGACGGTGGCCATCTTGGTACGTTCAAAAGGAAACGAGACGTTTAATTCTCTGCTCTTACTTCTATTATTACTGTTCCAACGAAACAAACATTTTTGTAATTCAGTTTTCAATTGTGCTAGTATAATTTTAATAAGAAACCCTCCCTCCTATACTAATAACAATCTAATCGATACAATTTCACGTTTCATTTTCGACACGTTCAAACGCTAAACAAATCGTTCATTGATCAAATGTCGATAATTCCATCAAAGACCATCTACACAGGATCTATTTACAAAAGAATTTAGAATTCTGAAGAGCAACGATCGTAGTACCCGATAAAGCTACCAAACTAACTCACAGTTCCAAACATCTTTCACCTAATCTCGACAAAATTGTACTCTCAACCGCACGATATATCCGTGCCAAAAACCAACAACTAAAATAATCTCGAAAAGTGAAGAGTACACCGGTACCAATTAACCAACCGCCGTCCAAAGTACCCGAACTCCCTAAATCACGAAGCGATCACTGGAACCTCTTTTTATCCACGTTCTCGAATCAACGCTCTACCTGTGTTCACGACCCAAAGGTGTCACACAATCGCGAACCGTCACCGCTGGAAGGCGAGCGAACCGCGCAAGAAATCGAACCGGAGGTCCTTTATCGCGAGGATTGCGACGTTGTGGGTGCACAGGGTGTACGCGTGATCTATGGCTCGTAATTCCTGGTCTCTGTTTGCGGCTGCAGGGGTGGCGAAGTCTGGGTCAACCGGGCAGGCTGCGTCGCCGTTGATCGTCTCTCCGCAAGAGAGCACGCCCAATCGGGGAACAGCACGCACAGGGGTTGCTGAGGGCTACGTGCGATTGGACGATGGGCGGAGCATACGTAACGGAGCTCGCGGTGGTTGTACGAGCTCGATGGAACGCAACCTCTCGGCAAAGGGGAAGCCCCGCCGCCGAAAGCGAGAAAGTCAATTCACCGCACGTTCTCTCCCCCACCGGGTAATTGGGGAGAGTATTCGAAGCAGAGGATCGGAGGACTGCGTAGCCGCCCCCGGCTTGTTTGAGGACTCGATGTCGCGAGTAACGTGTATCTGACTGGATAGTGGAACACGGAGGATGAAACGTTCGGAGACGATCGAGGAAGTATTTTAATATGTTTCTGTAATGTATTTCTCCCTTTTTATTTTTCGTCGATAGTTCTTCGGGGGTATTAACGATTTGGAAGTGTTGGACATTCGCGTTTAGAAATATTGGCACACTTATCGAATGTTAAGCGTACTGAAATCTAGTGAAATCTGCTTACTGAGTGTGAAACAAGCCTCGTTGTCGTTACAAGTTTAATATACAAATATTTGACACACAAAAGTCACTATAAAATTACTAAGACTCTAAACAAAAATGATTTATTCTGGAATATTGAAATATAACCATGCACATGTTTGACACACAAAAGTCACTATAAAATTACTAAGACTCTAAACAAAAATGATTTATTCTGGAATGTTGAAATATAACCATGCACATGTACACTACTGGCCAAAAGTTTGGAATCACCTCCCACTTTTCATCTTCTTGAAGTTGATCTCAATTCTACATTTATCAATTTATCTCATATCAATTTATTCGAACGATAAAAAATTCTCAAAATCGCTGACTTTATTCTGGAAATTTTTGTGTAAATTACAATGCTCAGTGATTCCAAACTTTTGGCCGGTAGTGTATATTTTTACTGATCTATGACACTAATTTTAGTGAAGAAGTGTAATTTAAATCATGTAATATTCGGTTGTTGTAGGATCAAATGACCGATTTCATACAGTTGCACGAGGTTTTCAGAATTGATTTCTTAAATTTGCTAACAGAAAACAGTTGTTATATATCAATTGAAATCTAGAAGTTAACCAAAGTAAAACATAAATTAAAGTCAGTTTTATAATAGAAGGAGGTATAGGTATTACAGAAATCAGGAATATTATGTTTGTCATCCACTTAAATACGATGATTCGACATTGTCGATACTTGTGACATAAGCGTATCATAAAAATCTCGTTAATGTACCATTTTCTTTATCCTTTTCCCGTGGTAATAAGTCAGTACCAACGAGTTAAAGTGACATTAAGTTACCTTTACGTTCTGGCAAGGGTTAATGAGTTTCGGATAAATTTCTATCAAGATAGAACTCTATTTCATGCACTTTTCAGAAAGACGACAGCAGCGGAATATTAGTGAGTGACACCTGTATGTTTCGCACGATACGGACCGTGTTACGAGAGATGGTCGTAATAACCAACGGCTGTCGTTAGAATATTTTATTCATTATTGCTTGAAAATCGATGATCGTCATCTCTCAAAGTGTACGTATACCTACTAATCGCTGATTAACATAATTTCACCGTTTCATTGTTGTGAAAGTTTTCCGAAGCAAGGTGAAAGATCAGTAAAAATAGTATCAGAGTCGATAAAACAAAGAAAAAGTTCAATCTCTCAGCATTGTATATTAGAATAAAATTTCAAATGTAATTCTAAAACTTTCCAACTTCTTGTCCAGTGTTTAATTTCCACAAAATTATAATTGCGTCGATAGAGAACGCTTTAAGGTGTACTTTAAAACATTCTTCCCATAAATTGTAAAGCTCCATTTCCAAATGTGTAATTAAAAATGAACGACACTTGAAAGCTTTAACAATATAACAGGGAATATTTTTTCATAGGATACGAAGAGCCTGATAACGAGGGAAGAGGGATGAAAATATCAAAAGAAGAAAAAAAAAAATAAGTTAAAGCTTCGTTTCCAATTGTGCAATTAGAAATGAACGACATTTCGAAGCTTTGATAAATGATAAGAAAATATTTTTAACAGGATACAAAGAGCCTGATAACAGGCGAAAGATTAAAATATCGAAAGAAGAAAGAAGGAATAGTAGATGGGAAAACTTAATTTCCAGCGTATCGGTGCGATTCTGTCGGGGTAAAGCAAGCGGTCTGCACTTGATAGGTCGAAGGATCCGTAGCATTCTGAAGGACCTCCTCGACGTGGCAGGAGCAGAAAATCGCGTTGAAGTGGTAACGGTCGGGCTAATGGCTCGGAGACGATATTTTGTTAAACAAGGAAACCTTTTATCCCCCATACCACTTCTTGAGCGGAATGCTCGGGGACAGGGGCGGCTTCGTTTCAAAAGAACTCTGCTTCTACTCACCCTCTTGGCTTATCCTCGGTGCGCTAAGAATTTCATTAAACGTATTTACGTATTTTATTTTCTCTCTAAACGTCGATCAGCAATTAGAACCTTTCGTCTCTATTTTCATTTTTCAAAACTGTCAGAGTAGAAATTCTACAAGAACCATCCTCGTAAATCGATCAACCGATAATTGATATGTTTTCTTCATTTTTCTTCGATTTATCAATGCTCCGATGTTAAAAAAGACTGGAAATATTTCAGAAACGATTTTAATATATTTCGAGATATTCTGCAGCTAACTTATTTACGACACATGAAAGGCTGTACTGAAGAGTGGAAGACGATCGCGATAAAAGCGGCCCTGTACCGTCACTTTGGTTTTCTTGTCACCAGGAGAGAACGAGCTGGAAGTGTGAACCGTCGACCACCACGACAAGATACCACCTGGCTCTTTCTCACGGTTCGCCCACGCATATACTGCCATTCTCGCGAATTCCTTCGATCCCTTCTGGCCTGAATCACTTCTCACTTTCTTCAGTCCTTCCAAGATGCGAATCGATGCGGGTCGCGTAGCTATCACGCAACTCCTGCAGAGTTCCGTTCGTGGTAAGCCTCAGCTGACAAGTTAATTCACTCTGTTCCGACAAGACTAGTAGATGATGCGTTGGTACTCGATGAATACGCGATGTGACTTAGGTGTGTCATTTTTTCTAATCGTGTTAACCCTTGCCTGAATAATCCTATTTATGTAACGTAGACGGACAGTCGGTGTCTGTTGGAATTTTGACTGCTGGTAACTTGAAAGTAAAGTACAGCATAGTGGCATTAATAGTTGTACTATGATACGTATTACGTTGGCCAAATCACTTTTTCGCTGAATATTTTACATTTGTAAAATAAATAATATATAAATAGTATTCAGCGTTCGATTATCACTGAGAGTTTATAGGCGCCGATAGCAGTCAAAGGGTTAACACACGATTTTGGTAAAGGGTTTGGTAAAGGGAAAACTTATTTATTGAGTTATATTCAGGGTTAAATGAATTATACAGACGCATAATATAATATATACCTAAGTGCTTAGGAAATAATTAGAATTTTGTACTTTATACCTACCGTATTTCCGCGCGTATTTTTCCAAACTTTATTTTCATGAGGTACTCTTAGATAGACAATAATATCCGAGTATTTTTCATAAGAAAAATATAAAACCTTTTCTTTTCTTTACGTACACTGTCTACTGTGAAAAATTTCAAATTATTCGGAACGTGTATGTTTTTTTTTTTACCAATTAAAAGTAATCATTCTGATTGAGATAAAAAAATAAAATATCGAGCTTATAGTGAAAATGAATATTAAAAAAATTGGTTCCGACCGGGATCGAACCGGCGACCTTCTGCGTGTAAAGCAGACGTGATATCCGCTACACCACGGAACCCCAGTGATAGCAAATCGTTTTATAGTGCGGATAGCCAGGATTTGTATTTTAATTCAAACTAATAGATATTACTTCGATTAATTACCAGAAATAAGTGTAGTTTTACAATATAATGCAAACTCAGCTGACGAGAGCAAATAAATTGAAAAGTCTTGTACGTAGTTCAAAGTAGCAAACGCATAATCACAGTTCGGTAAAAAATTATACTCAATTACTTTAATCGATAAATATTGTAACAACGTATTAACAACAGCTGTATTTCAAGATAGAAATGGTACTACGAATGAACAACAATGTCGTATGTTATTGCAATTTATTTATAAACATATGAAAAATCGGCTTAACACCGTATACAATATTATTATTCGTATATCACTTACTAATGGCAGTGATTACAATATTAATAATAGGTATATTTCATATAAATAATAGTACTATAATTATATGAACGTGTAGCTTCGAAAGTGTAACGGTACTTGGTCTAAGTACATCAGAAGAATTAAAGTGTTCTCACTGTTGCGCACCTTTAGCGGAAGGATGTGCACGTACATAAAATTAAATTTAATTGATTAATAAGTTACTTGCTAATTCAATGAATAGTATAGCATTAGAGAAAAAAGTAACGGAAGACGATTATTGAATAATGTGTACAATCGCACTTCAGTCTTGCCGATTCTAGTTCGATAATTCGATTTACTTAAAACAAATTGGCCCAACCGTGAAACCGAACGCTTGATGCGGTAATCCATAATCGACCGGATAGAAATCCACCAATGGTAACTGTTGCAATATTTTACTTTGGATTAAGAACACCGTTTCCCCTTTATTCTTGCGCGCTTTACAATTGTCTGTTACGATTTGTGGCTTGGTAGCGGTGTACGAAAATTCATCTTCGTTCGCGCCAAGCAGCCGTAAGGAGGAATTGTACGTAAAATTCAAAGTATCGTACCAAGCAGCACTGTTGATGCAAGTATATGTGAAATTTTGATAGGCTTCTTGGCTCAGTAAACGTAGAAAATTTAATTGTACTACTCCGATAGTTTCGTATGTAATCTACAACGTACGGTGCTATTAATAACAAATTCTTGTGATATTTTAATAATATATTGTTCAGAATTTTTTTTCCCTTTAAAATACGTATTTCTTTAAATTGATTCAAACTTACTTTAAATCCTCCACGCAGATTTGAATACCAATCCGTTTTATTGTTTTCTTTTCTCCACGGTATGTTTGGCATTTGAGTTGTATGAATATCAGGGTACACGCAAGTTTCGCCAGTATTCGTCATGTTACAATAAACGTACACAGCATCGTCAGCCATTCCTAAGTTTGGATCGATCCAATACCAACCTTTTTTTTTTAAACAATTTTGTAATTAATATATTTATTAATTAGAAAACTTTCAAGCAAAATACGAATGAAATATTAACCATCTTGAAAGTGTGGATGCCCGTAAAACAGATCCTTACAAGTCCTTGCAGGATTTTCTCTACTTCCAATTGGTTTACGTATTCGATCCAGTTCTTGCCTCATAGCGTATATCGAACTGTACATATCCAAGAATTTAGGTCCTAATTCCTCTTCGATATGATTATCTTCCTTATCCAAGTTTTCTGAACTTTTGTCATTTTCGTCTTCCTCGTTTCTAAAAAAAATACTCTAACATCGTAACAATGTTTATAGAATTGTACTTCGATTTCTATTTAAATTATCTTACGTGTTTGTCGTAATATCACGTTTTCTCCTCAAGATTTGTTCCCTGGTGAACAACAATTCCGGAGGAATCATTGGTTGCTCTGCAGGTGGTCCAGGAGGACCTGGAGGTCCTATAGGGCCCATTTCGCCTTTTGGTCCATCGTTTCCAGCGCTCCCTTTAGGACCTGGTGGCCCTTCCATCCCAGGAAGTCCTGGAGGTCCATCGTTTCCTTTGAAGCCCAATACACCTGATGGTCCCTGGTTACCCTTGGGTCCTTCAACTCCTGGACTGCCTCGAGGACCTTGTTCTCCTTTTTCTCCTTGCTCTCCTTTGATCCCTACGTGTCCTAGATCGCCTCGATGCCCTTTGAGTCCCCTTTTACCTCTGTCACCCTTTGGACCTTTCGGTCCAACAGGTCCAACTTTTCCTGGAACACCAACAGCTCCTGACATTCCTGGTGGACCATTTTCTCCAGCAAGTCCTGGAAGACCTCTTACACCGGGCAGGCCAGATGGTCCTGGTACCCCTTGAGGTCCTGTAGCACCGTGTGGTCCTGGTGCACCAGACGGACCTACATCTCCTTTTTCCCCAGGCAAACCTGGACTCCCTTGCACTCCTGCTGGACCCTCAGGTCCCTAAGCAATATTGATTGTCACTGTTAGCTTAAAATCTCTTCGAGGAAAATGTTTAATATGCAGATGGTAGAATTGTATAATTTTATACTTGTTTTCCAGGTGGACCAGGAAATCCTTCTTTTCCTGGAGGGCCAGTTTCTCCTGCTGCGCCAGGATCTCCGGTTTTGCCATCTTCACCATCTTTTCCAGGTTCTCCTTTTGAACCGACTAAACCTGGTTCTCCAGGAGGTCCAGGGAAACCAGGTGGTCCCGCGTTACCCTTTGGTCCTTCTGGACCATTTATGCCACGACTACCGAGTGGACCTGGTGGACCACTTTTTCCTTCTTCTCCTTTCGGTCCTGGAGGACCTCTTTCACCCTGAAACACACATCGTAACATGTAGTACTACTTGTATTTTTCAAATTTTTTATTAATGTAATTAAAAAGTGAAATTCTTTACCAGCTTTCCTTCCGGGCCTGTTAAGCCTGGAAGTCCTGATGCTCCAGCGTCTCCTTTCTCTCCCTGACGACCCTCTGGTCCTAAAGGACCTTGTGAACCTTCAGATCCTTTAGGACCTCTTGGACCTTGTTCGCCAGGACTTCCTGCTGGTCCTACGGGTCCAACTGCACCAGCATCTCCAAATTCTCCTTTTAATCCAGGTGGACCAGGCAATCCTTGCGGTCCTATGGGGCCAGGGGGGCCTGATGCACCAACGGGACCATCTTCACCTTTTGTTCCTTGTCTTCCAATTTCCCCGGGTGGTCCCTTTTCACCTGGTAGGCCAATAGAACCGGGTTCACCCCGAAGTCCTTGTGTTCCAAATGCTCCTGGAGGACCCTGTGAAACAAACAGAAAGAATGTCTGAATATGAAACATAATATATATTTTATTTATTTAAAATTGATTTACAGTTACCATTTCTCCTTGAGATCCTTTGAATCCTTTTTCACCAGGAGGTCCGATATCTCCTTTATCGCCGTCCTCTCCTGGAACTCCAACAGGACCAGGAGAACCTGGCAATCCTCGTTGTCCTGGTAAACCATCTCGTCCAATAGGCCCTGCTGGCCCAGACTCACCCTGGTAGGACAACGTGCAATAATATTATTTGCTATAACTCTTTCTCGTCAAATCACATTATCGAAACAATTTATTTATGTATTCACCCTGTCACCCTTCAAACCAACTGGTCCTAGTGGTCCTTTTGGTCCTTGGCTACCCTGAGGTCCTGGTTCACCATCCTTCCCAGGCTCTCCTTGAGCACCTTTATCACCTGATGGACCTTGAGGTCCAGTTGGTCCTATTTCTCCCTTTGTACCTGGCATACCCTTTTGTTTACAAAGAAAAAATCAAATTTCCAAATGTCAAACATACAATTTAATAAATATTCTTTAACGACATAAAACAAACCGGTAAACCGCTCAATCCTCGTTCACCAGGAAATCCTGGTAAACCACCAGGCCCTGGCGGACCTTCCTTTCCTGGTAAGCCATGAGGTCCTGGAGGTCCTTCCTTTCCTTGTTCACCAGGGGGACCTGATTCGCCAGGCATTCCAGGATTTCCTGGACTTCCAAGTTCTCCTGGTTGACCAGGTTCACCAGCTGGACCTTGTGGTCCAATAACACCGGGTGTACCTGGAGGACCTGGTGGCCCTGAATCACCCACTGGTCCACGTTCTCCAGGAGGACCACCAATTCCATCTTTTCCATCGAGACCAGCTTGTCCAGGAGGTCCGACGAAACCACGAGGACCTTCAACACCCGGAGAACCCGGTTCCCCTTGCAATCCTGGAGGACCTGGCTGCCCAGTGTCACCCTTTGGTCCTGGTAATCCTTCGGCACCACGTCTTCCACGAGCTCCTCTAAATCCCTTTATGAAAAGAGGTAGTAATTAATTGCATAATATATCAATAGTTTATATAAAGATATAATTCACATAAATAACTAATAACTTTATTATGAATATTATTTTTACTTATTTACTTACTCTAGGTCCTGGTTCACCACGTTCCCCTGGAGCGCCATTATTTCCCTAAAATAACAAAATGATGAGTCTTTGCTACATTAATCGTAATATCTGAATAATTCTTTTTTTACCCTTTCTCCTTTATCCCCGTTAGGACCTTCCCTTCCTGGCTGACCTTTATCACCCTTTTCACCAAGGTTTCCAGGATATCCAACAAAACCTGGAGGACCAACTTTTCCCTTTTCACCATGTGGACCGATTGGTCCAGTTTCACCACGTGGTCCCTCGAAACCTTTTGATCCCTCTAATCCTTCCAAACCAGGAATTCCTTGTGGACCTGCTAGACCAGGCTCTCCCTTTCCTCCTGCATCACCTTTTTCTCCCTCTGCACCTCTCTCCCCCTTTTCTCCGCGTTCACCAGGGGATCCACGTTTACCTTCATCACCTTTCACACCACGGACTCCTGGAAAACCTATTGGTCCTTGTGGACCTTGTGGCCCTTGTTCGCCTTTCATTCCAGGAACACCTGGATTCCCTGGATGTCCGGGAGATCCGTCTGCTCCGGAAAGGCCAGGAATCCCTGGCTTTCCTTGTGGTCCCTAATAGAGTTATCAGATATTCATTTTATATAAATATCGATACATCGAATAAATATATTTAGAAAAATAATATTTTAATTTTGAAAAACTTACAACTAAACCAGTTGGACCCAAAAGACCTTGAGGTCCAGGTGGACCTACAGGTCCGATTGGGCCAGGAGATCCTGGCGAACCAAGAGACCCAAGTGGACCAGTGTTGCCTTTAGCTCCTGGTGGACCTTCACTTCCAGGGATACCATGGTTCCCTGGTAATCCGGGAAAACCTCGTGGTCCTATGAATCCCCTAGGTCCCTGAAATGAATGATAGAACATAAAACCACACAGCTCTGTGAGAATATTTTGCTTTTATGTAACTATACCAGTTTACAATATTTTCATTACCATTTCACCAGGCAACCCTAGTAAACCTGGAGGACCATCATCACCTTGCATCCCTTCATGACCTGGCAAACCTGGCTCGCCAGTAGCACCTGGTAGTCCCCTTTCTCCTTTATCTCCTGGTAATCCAGGCAATCCAGGTACACCTTGTTCTCCTTTCATTCCTGGTGGTCCACTTAGTCCTCGTTCTCCATCTCTGCCAGGTCGTCCTCGTCTACCTTCCCTACCAGTGTTTCCAGGAATACCTGTAAGCAATTCGTGAAATTTACCAATGTTTCTACTTTTGTAGAAATCGTTTCAATAGATCGATAAATCGTCTATCAATAGAACTCTATATTCGTTAAATTTTTAATGCTTAGATGTACAGAATTTTAGAAGGAAAAAATTGTATAAACCTGACCCCTTTCACCATGAGATCCAGATTCGCCAACTTCTCCAGGTTCTCCCTTCTGACCTTGGGGTCCAGGAGGTCCTTCAGGTCCTGGAATACCTGTCAGACCCATAGGACCTTCGGCACCTCTCATGGCCATCATGTGCTGCGAAAGCATTTGCCTCAAAGCTTCCACCTGAGTGTCCGGTCCTTTCTCGTTGCCTTGTTGATTCATTGCCGGTATAATGAAAACGTTACCCGGTGGACCGGCCGAGCCTTGCAAACCAGACAGTCCGTCTCTCCCTGGTTCTCCTTTTTTACCAGATGGCCCAGACACTCCTGGAGGTCCTGGAAATCCTCGTGGCCCAGGTGAGCCCCGAACACTATAATACGCAGGGTAATACGATCCTCCAGAAGACTCGGAGTATCTTAAGCCTCCTTGAATTTCTCCAATTATATTATCAGAAGTTTCAGGCATTTCTGGCGTGGTCGTTTGATACTGATCTACAATAGTTGCATCGATACTATTGAAAACCTGTAAAAATTCATTTTTAATTGAAACTCTTTTGTATCACGAAGCGTTATATGCTCCAACCTAATCTATTCTTCTATCCATAATTGACAAATTTAAACCATTAGTCATATATGTACGTTTTATACTTTTCAGTGCTTGGTTTATTGAATATACACGATAATTTTTCAAATAAAGTACAAACATTTCTCATTTTCGATTATAATAACCAACCGCGACTCACAGCACTTTGATTATGAAGAAAAGCTTCGATGGTTGGTCTCAATGTGTACGTTGCAGTCGTGGATCTATAATTTAAATTATAGTCTTCGTTATCTTCAACCGATGCATCCTCGTTACCTTCTTCAGTTCCTTCCTCATAGTCCTCCTCCGTTTCTTTCTCGAAATCTTCGCTTAGCCCATTGTTGGAAGCATTTAACGCAGATACTGTCGATGCTCTACCGTAGCTTCTGTTATAATTGTTATAGTTATTATAGTTCGTTTCATAATACGATCTACTTGTTGGAACCGCTTCACCAGGATACGTAGAGTTTCGAACTGTCTGACTGGTACCAATGTTCGTCGAACCCTCGTAATAAGTTGATGAGGTGGTGCGTATTGCAGGACCATGAATTCTCACATTTGCATAATTTCTTTGGCCAAATCTGTGCCTCGTTTGATTTCTACAATCCGGCGCGAAAATTGTGCAAATTTCGTAAGCTGCGTCTGGAATCGGAGCAATCCTCAGCATCTCCAAGCCACCCTATAAATTATTTCGAAAAATAAAAGAACGCGTTTGAAGCAAACAGGGTGTGCCATTACATTTGTATGTTACAATTAAACACGATTATATTCCACTGACCAAATACACATTGCCGTCAACGATCTGCTGACCAATGATTATGATACCACTGACACTGATCGTTTCATCGTAATTTCTGCGCAATGCTCTGGATATCTGTTTAGCGCAGTCAACGATCAGCGTGACAGTGTCGCCTTTAATGCTGATTCCTAAACGGTGCCATTTCCCATCAGAAATATTAATCCCGAACGAAATAGGCCTGTCCTCGTCATCCGGGGTTGTACTATAGTAAAGAGTGACGTCACTGCCCAATGATAGCACCAACTGTTCTTCACCGCTATCGCTGTAGATGGCAAACAACGTGGCAGCCGGGTACCCTAATTTTTTGATTACGAGATCAACACCTTGTCTGAACACGCGTATATCGTTTAAAGTGTTCGTATAATTTATGACTTAGAATTGCAACGTTCCGATTTGAAAAAGAACGATCGTTACAGTTTGAGAAATCTAACGAAAGTTCAAATTCAAGTTCAATTGAGAGATATTAAAGTGAATTGAAAATGACTACCGTACCGATCTTTGGTCTTGCGACGATTAAAATGGAAAAATCAAGCGGTATGCCAGTGGGGAATAAAGTATTGGTATTGATCGTCAGTAGAGCGCTCTCCGCGATCTCGTATGCGACCGTGTCATTTCTTTGGCAACGATTTTGGGTTACTGTCACTCCAACAGGCTCTTGTTGCATTCCGGTACCATCCACCAAGTCGACGACATTTTTCGCTGAAATCGTTAAAAAGTCAATTGCACTGGTGCCGCCGAAGCGGCGTGTTTCTGGAGCAATAGTCCTACGATTTTGCAAGAAAAAGACGTAATTGAATAAGCATGATTGCACGATGATGAGCACGATGGACAACTGGAAACCCAATAACCCCTGAACCCGTAAGACATAACTCGTCCCGTTACAGCGAACGGCCTAAACCAATTCCATTAAGACGTCCTCTTTTCTAAGAGTAGAACACGCAGTTTTGCATGCTACCAACAGCGCGACTCAATTAATGTAATAGGGATCACTTAAAAAGACATTCTAGTAGTGAACGGACTGGTGTATTACATGATTCATAGAATGATTTTAACGCGTGTGTATTTATGCATAAAGTAGGTTACTATATTTCATTGTTAAATACCGTTTTACTTCACACTTAATAGAGAGAATTATTGCAAATTCTAAACGAACGAAATAATTGTAAAAATTGCACACAAATGAGATATTCGTTTCAAGCCCTTTTCTCTTGTCGCTTCGTGGTCGTGTGTTCGATTGAAACGCCTAAGGAGAAGTAATTGTTGAGTTAGTAGAATTACTGAATCAGAAATAGAATTAGATTTACCCATATCTTGCAAAGCAACGTCTGCCAGCACCAGGTGCAACCCTAGTGCTAGGAGGAGGCAAGATGCCCAAGAAACGGAGTGGATGTTGCGAGGCAGCCGCAGTGTTCTCCATTGATGCTTCACGTGGTCCCGCCTCATGCTACCCTTTCCTCGTCAAATCATGATTTTCACAGGGAACTCCACCAGATATCGTTCACCGCCAGGAAAGGACCGCGCGCACTTTCGGGGAAGTCCCGGAGAACCGGCAGATCCGCGAGACGTGAAGTCGAGAAGGAACGCTGTGAAACTTATCTGAATGTAATCGTCGTCAGAATGCAGTCACCCTCCCCACGCGTTTCCTCTTCTTCTTCTTCTTCTTCTTCGATCCCTCCTTTCTAATACCGCGTCTCCCCGCCTTTCTTTCTCGTAAATGCCGATGCAACGGTGCACATGCATTTCACACATGTGTCTTTTAACGACAATCCCGCATCTCTTCTATTGACACTGATTCGGATAACACGTGGTGCCACGGGAAACAGGGTAGGGATCTTTTCGTCATCGAGACAAATAAACTTTTCTTCTTCTTTTTTTTCTTTCGTTGAGAATAGAGAAAGAGAAATTCTGTCGCGTACAGAAATTGGGCCAATTCATTATCAGCCGTTTATTCATTTTTTTTTTTTTTCTTCTTTTCATACCATTTCTTTATTTCTTCTTTCTAGATATCGCGACAAGTTTTATTCCACGTCGAGTTTTTTGATCTTTTGGAAAATTGGGATAACTGGAAGGGAACGCTTGAAATAAGGAATATGTCGATAAATTCGGACTTATTATTTTTAATTGTTCCGCAAGCGAATGTGGTCATCGTTTAAGTATGAAAGTTTCAATTAATTACTTCCTCGATACTTTTGATTAGCTACTTCCCGACTTAACTTAGTTTATAAGAGTTCTATCTTCGACTTGAATGTAAATCGACATTTATCGTAGTCGAAACTTATCGACCGTGACGAATTTTGAAGAAGTATGAGATAAAATGGTGGTTTTCTTTTTCTCTTTAACACCGCTGTTAAATTGATTCGTTCATTTTCAATTTCTTTAGACGCAATCATCTTAGAATTCTGATCTATTAATTAAGACGCATTTTAAGGTTTATTATTTCGTTTCGTACTTTAACAGTTATTCTATTTTAGAAAAGAATGATCCGTGGTTTCAATGTTCCTTTTGATTTACCACGTGAATAGAAGGACTTTATTTAATCTGCCTATAGGCTTGTTAAGATTATTTATGTAATAGTAAATTTTTAATGAGCTTATATTACTTTTATGTTATCAAACAGTAATTTTCTTAATTTTAGCTTTGCCACAAATATTGTAATAATACTATTGATGAATTATTGATAATATATAATATGTATTGAAAAACTTAAATTTCGTTATTCGTATATTTCTTTTCATTAGAAAAAATATGGCAAATATGTACAAAATCATTGTTACATATAATTTAAGGACAGATATTACAATATTTTACTATTGAATTTAAATATTGAAATAAATTAAGTTTCCAATATAATGGCGCTGCCAGTCCTTACTGTTCATACGGTTTCTATTACCATGTGCTTCTATCATATATCACTTGTAAACATAACCTCGTAATTGAATTGTGTGTAACGTGTTTCAAATTAATATACAATGACGAAGAAAAAGAAAGTAAAAGCTTTCAATACGAAGAAAAAACATGTGCCGGAAGCAAACGTAATTGTACAGCTGCAGTCAAAATATGAAACTGTAAGTTATAATTATTTCTTATAAATTTTTTGAAATACTGTCTTTACAATGATTATGTGTTTATAGATCGATGAGACGAAAGCAACAAAATTTAAAGATCTTCCGCTTTCGTCAAAAACATTAAAAGCTCTGGCAGTAAATAATTACATTGAAATGACAGATATTCAAAGACAAAGTATTGGATTAGCATTACGAGGGAATGATATTTTAGGAGCAGCTAAAACTGGCAGTGGAAAAACCTTAGCATTTCTTATTCCAGTAAGAAATTTGACTAAATTCATATAATATTTTGACAGGACAGTTTATAGCAGAAATTTAGTTTTCGAATTATTTAAGGTTTTAGAAATTTTATACTGCAAACAATGGACAAGGTTAGATGGACTTGGTGCACTGATTATTACACCAACTAGAGAACTTGCTTACCAAATATATGAAACATTACGAAAAGTTGGTCAGCATCATGATATTTCTGCTGGCCTTATTATTGGTGGAAAAGATCTAAAATTTGAAAAAAAGCGTATGGACCAATGCAATATTGTTATATGCACTCCTGGTCGATTATTACAACATATGGATGAAAATCCATTATTTGATTGTGTAAATATGCAGGTACATAAATATAAAAATATAAGTGAAGTATATGAATTAAGAAAATAAAAATATACAAATATAAATAATTAACATCAATAAAAGAGTATAAATATATTTACTTATTTATTCCTAAAATCATAGGTACTAGTATTAGATGAAGCTGATAGATGTTTGGATATGGGTTTTGAGAAAACTATGAATTCTATTATTGAGAATTTGCCTCCAAAACGACAAACTCTTTTATTCTCTGCAACACAAACAAAGTATGTATGTTTAAAAGTAAATACAATTTGATCTTTCCTTAGTTTGTGATCTTCTTTCAATATTTTTATAGATCTGTAAGAGACTTAGCCAGGTTAAGTTTAAAAGATCCTATGTATGTATCTGTACACGAACATGCTACACATACCACACCAGAAGCTCTTCAACAAAGTTATGTTGTTTGTGCTTTAGAAGATAAAATATCTATGCTATGGTCCTTCATAAGAAATCACTTGAAACAAAAAATTATTGTATTTTTTTCAATAAAAATATGAAGTATTTTGTCGATTGAGGCCTGGTATAAGCATGTTAGCCCTTTATGGTACCTTGCACCAACTTAGAAGAATGGAAATTTATGAAACTTTCTGTAAAAAAGAATTCGCAGTATTGTTCGCTACGGATATTGCTTCTCGTGGATTAGGTAACTAAAAAAGAAGACTTGTATATTGTTTATAGATAATTTAATTCATAATTAAACTAAATTTTAGATTTTCCTGCTGTCAATTGGGTTGTGCAAATGGACTGTCCTGAAGATGTAAATGCGTATATACATCGTGCTGGTAGGACAGCTAGATTTCAAAGAGGTGGTGAATGTTTATTAGTTTTACTGCCTTCTGAAGAAAAAATGGTTGAGAAACTCAAAGAACGTAAAATTCCAATATCTATGATACAGTAAGTTAAAATTATTTTACAATTATAAACTCTTTAATAATTATTAAAAAAAAAATGGTTTTTAGAATTAACCCTAACAAATTGCAATCTCCACAACGCAAAATGGAAGCATTTTTAGCAAGAGATGTTTCATTAAAAGAAAGTGCTCAAAGAGCATTTATCACTTATATAAAATCAATTTTCTTAATGAAAGATAAAGAAATTTTTAATGTTCGTGCCTTAAATACTGATTCATTTGCAAAGTAAAGTATACAACTATATATGATAATAGTCATATACAAAGTCATATGTAATTACATCACCTTACAATTAACATATTTTTAGATCTTTAGGTTTAGCCATACCTCCAAGAATTCGATTCCTTCAAAGAATGGAACATAAACAACAATCATTCGATAAATATACCAAAGAGAAAGGACAGTTGACTGTAAATGATGAATCAAACAGTGATATACATGAACAAGAAAATGCTAATTACCACAATCACAATGCACATAAAGAAAGAGAAGAAAAGATTACATCTCAAATATTGAATCCAAATAATTTTACATTTGGTATGAAAATTAATGTTGAAATTCATCAAATTATGTTCTTATTTTATTTAATTATTTTCTACTTCGTATGTTTTGCATAGACGATAGTGATGATGATAATATATTGACTGTAAAAAGAAAAAATATTAACCTTGATGATATCCCAATTATTGACAATGACAAGAAGGACGAAAATTCAAACAAGAAGAAACCAATCACAAAAGCTGCAATAGCTAAAAAAATTTTACGGAAGAAAATAGTACCAAATAAGAAAATTACCTTTGACGAAAAGGGAGAGGTTTGATGCATATCCTTTTTACATAAATTTTAAATATAATTTTTAGATATAGATTGAAATATAATTGTAAAATATTTTCTTTTGTAGGAGTTAATAGATTCCTCTAAAGTTAAAATCTCTGAATTAGCTAGACAATACGAAAACGAAGAAGATTCTGGAATAAATATAGAAATAGCTAAACAAATATTGCGCGAAGAAGACAAATTTGATAAACAACGATTTAGGGAGAAAGTAAAAGAGAAGCACAGAGCAGAAAAACGGAAGTTAAAAGCTGCCAAAAGGAAAGTAGAAGATAAAGACGACCAAGAAGAAATGGAAGACAGTGCAGACGATCATGCTAGTGAGAGCGAACAGAGTGAACTAGATTTATCCTGGTTACCAGATCCAGATAAGATTTATGGCAAACAGCAAGAAAAACATGAAGAAACTTTGAATGCTTCGGAAACAGAGGAAAGTGAAGAGGAAAGCGAAATACACAGGTACGTATTTTAATAATAACAAACACTAAACACAGTATCTACAAAAATATACTTAGTTTATTTTTAGCATTATTTTTATGTTTGGTAATCATACTTTTATTAATTACAGACCGCCTAAAAGAAAACTCATAACACAAGAAAAATACAAAAAGAAAAAGAAGAAACCAAACATATTTGTCGAAACGGACAACATAGATTTGAAAGCGGACGAGGAACTAGCATTACAACTTTTACAAGGTTAAATCATTATTTGTAGGACAAAATTTTAATCTTTTTTATATGTTCTATAATACAACATTGTTAATAATATTAAATATTAATTACTCTCTAAATCGC